GTTTGCAAGTATTAAGTTAGCTATGATTTCTAAGGGCTTTGAAGATGCCAAATATTGCTGACAACTGACTGATTGACTTTTGTATACATGCTTGAGTGTTTTGTACAGGATTCCAAGCACAGAAGTTACATACAATTAAGAAGGAAATATATTATGTGGAAACTATTTGGTCTGAAGAGTACTTGAAAGGAACCATGAAGGAACTGCTCTATGTAAGAACAAAAGCATGGTGACTTCTGAAAATTACATCACCAAATGAGGAACCCACAAGCAAGACATAACTTCTACTGTAAGTATCGCTACTGTAGGCAAAAAGCCAGCATCCTTTAGGTGTTTTTATATTTCATGTTATTTGATCAGACTCTATAGGGTCAATTAGAAGATAGGATTACATGAGCTAATTTCTGATGGAGATACCATAATATGGTGACGTTCATTTTTTCTACTACATCTAAATTAAATGTCTTTTTGTGGTTTTTTCAAGTTTCTTTTGAAATAATGATCCCGTATTATGGCTTATATGCATTTTTCTTATTTAATGCATGAATTTATGGATCTGTATCTGGTGCTCATAATTTCTGTTAAGTTCACTTGTTGCTGTATAATTTTTGCTGTTAAGATCTGTCACTGGAGTTCTTTAGGGATCTTATTCTGGTCTCCTGTGCCATAGAGGTGCATGACATATTTATATTAAATATTCATGTAGGATTTACCCCTGAAAGAGGCTGAGTGCTCTGACCCTGAGCTCATAAGTAAATGCTTTAATCTAACCACATTAGGATTGTGTAATTCTTCTGAAGTTGTATATGAAAGCTGGCTGGGTTGTTGTGCAAAAATGCAATTGTTTTCATAGAAATGTACTACCAGCTTCAACAAAAAAAGGTTTCTCAGATGCTGAAATACATTTCTGAGACAAACTGAAGACATACTCTCTCCCTACCCCAGAACAGTCAAGTGCCTGACATTTGTGCAGTTCTTATCAGGGCTAGAGAGAAGATTTAATTTCACATTTCTGTTCTGGTTTGGTTTAAATCAAGGACTTGAACATTAGTTTTTGCATCCTGGGTGAGTGCCCTAACCACCAGTCTATTGGCTATTTTGGGGGATAATGTGTCCCTCTGATTTTTTTTTTTTCCATGAAATACTTCAGTGTAGGAGAGAGACATTTTCTGCTGTTGCAACAACTTCTGTATGATGGAGACACTTCTTATGTCCAAGGGTTATCAAGTGTATATGGACTCTAAGAACGCTAAGCACATTCTTAAAAGATTTTTCGGGCTTGCTGTGCTTGTTGCCTTTCAAGGTCAACAGTGGCTTTTAGTGCCACTTTATGGAAGTTAGTTCTTAAATGTAGGCCTGTTTTACTTTCACTGTATTTCTCTTTTGCATTGTTTTTGTTCACTGCTTGGTCTTTCAGTACTAAAAATTGGATTCATCTTTACTTTGCATGCTGTTTTGCTAAAATGTTGCCTTCTGAAATACTTAGCACTTATTTTTATCATAGTTCCACCATTCACTAAATTTAATGTAATACTCCTTCAATAATTCTTTTACATAAAATTATTTTCAAGGTATATAATTTGGCTATGCACATTTGGCTTGGAATCAATAATAAAATGTCTTGGCCTGGAGTTATTTTCCCTTTAACCTTTTGGCAATGTGATGTAGGAATATTATTATTAGTGCTCTTCTCTAGTTCAATATTAGATTGTTCACTCTACAGAATTTTAAATAATTTGCAAGCTACTCCTTCTGTGGCAGAGCTTATGGTTTTGAATCTTTAGGTGATAAATAAAATACAGTATTTTTAAATATTAACAACTTATCTTGCATGTGCCCTTCTCCAGAGATCTCAAAACTTGGCAAACAACAAGGGTGCCGACAGGCATTCATTGAATTTCTGTGAAACTCTTTGCACTAGAAAAATAGGTTGAGAGTTGGGTTGTACATGTGTTCTGGCCCCCTGGCTGCAGAGCTACACAGGTGAACTCTCCTGCTAGGGGGCACTGGAGGACTTCTCCTTGGTCTCCCCTAATGGCAAAGGTGATCCATTGATTGGCAGTTTGTGCTCTCCCTTGCAAGGGAAGGGGATAGGTTATTAACTGGCAGCTGCTGAAAAGCAGGGAGTCAAACAGAAACCAAAGAACTAGTCTGAACCAGTATTTTGACTTGAACTGGAATGGAGCTATCCTATCCTACTAAACCTGAATTGGAACTGAAGTGAATAAAAAAATGGTTACTGGTTAAAATAAAGTTTCAGTCTTCATTAAAACAACATTTAAAGATTTTTTTTAAATGTTAGAAACTACTGGTTTATTATGACACACAAAAATAGAATAACACATAGACATGAGGGTGCTACCAGAAAGGCAGCTTTATAGTAAATCCTAAGTATTTTCTCTGAACTAGCAGTTTCTATCATGGTGGGGTTTTTTGGTTCTTTAGTCTATATTACTAACAGCCAATTGAGTTTAATGTATGTGAATAGCTATAAATACTACTGCTTTCTCAATTAGTGGACTCTTATTCTTAATCCCTATGGTCTCTATCCCTGTCCCCTTTTGTTGATAAAATTATTGTAATTAATTACAGTGCCTTGATAATAAATCATGGGGAGAAATCAACAAAATCCTGTGAGAAAATTATTTAACTGTGACAGTGACACACACACACACCTCTCCACATATATATATCCATCTGCCAAGTTGAGGAACCAGAGTGCAGTGCAGTCATGTCTGGGAACCATGCTTCCAGTCTGGAAAGGCACATTCAAAGACAGCATCCTAAGGAGCATGCTGCACTTTTTAAATTTTGCATTTCCTCTCTTTCTAAACATAGTAAAATGACCACAACATGCTTGCAGTCCTGATGAACCCACATCCAAGAAGTCAAGTACAATACAAGCTAGTTTGCACTTTGTGTTAAAAACAAAGCAGCTACCTTATTGGATGCTTGCTTAGAATAAGTTACTGTAAATGGAAAACCATTTCAGTTGATGGAAGATTTGGGATTTCACAAAATTGTTGACCACATTCAAGTTTTTGGGAACAAAATTTACAGTGAATGCTGAAAATATCCACGACAAAGTTGATGCTCTTGCAGTCACCATTTAGGAGGGAATAAAAAAAACCAAAGCAAGGGACATAGTTATCATTGCCGGTCAAATTGTTCTTTGAACTCTTGCAATGAAAAAGATGAGAGAAGCACTCCTCTGAATATATAAAATCACTGATTATTAAAGTTCTTAATATATACGGAATCATGCCAAGACAAATATATAGTACTATAACAGGTAATGGAGCAAACATGCTGAAAGCAGTTAGGTTGATGTTTGAGACTCGGGGAAACTGAGGAAGCAGAACAAGAAATTTTTAAATGAAGAGGAAACAGAAAATTTACTGTCTGGGGAAGATTGTAAAAAGAAGATATGACCAAGATCATAGTAATTTGGTTCAGATGGTGGAAGAAAGTTACACATTACATTTAGACCTTAATAAGGGTACTTCAAATGTGTGTGTGCATGTTAAAGCTCATTAAATCATGCTAAGTGCCCTCTGTCTCAAAGTTATGTGACTTCAGGCAAGGGTTAACTTTGGGCTATGCTCCTTACTTCATGTTAGGGTAACTTCACTCTTCTCCACAGAGATAACATGAGCAATCCCAGGATGCACTGTTTCTGGCCCTCTCCCAACCAGAGCAGGGACAGGGCAGAATGGGATGCTATTGAAGGCATAGCAATTTCAGTGAAGCTTGCTAAAATAGCAAGAAAAAATATTCAACATGAACAACTACCAATGGGTGACTGATGGTGCTTGGTTAAAATGCCAATTGGAAACATCAAATCACATCCTCTATCACTCAGTCCTTACTGGTTTCCATGAAAAAATAATAAGGAAAATCTATCTCCCTCATGTCTATACCTTGATCCCAGATATCATCAAGCCTTCCAGCCAAGGCAACACTTCCATTTTTCTCCATGTATTGGTTAAATGAAATGCTTCAATTGGAAGAAGTTGTGGTCAATTGTTGTATTATAGAATCAAAGGCACATGTCTGAAAGTGAAAGATCAGGTGATGAATTGGACTCTCTTCTTAAAGCTTATGAAATCTCCAGAGAGAAAAAGAGAGCCGAACAAAAGAACTCCCCCCAAAAGATAGGACCATATCTACCATCACGTGCAGATGATCCACATCTCAGTGAGAAGGAAGTATTAAAATACTTGGAACATCAAAAAACGTATAGGTAAAAACCATGCCTGAACTGTATCAATTGACAAAAATTGTAACGGCAGTTTCTGCAACACAAGTGAGTGTTGAAAGAATATTTTCAGGCCTCAGATTTATTCTATCAGCAGAGGTCCAATATGACAGAGCAGCTATTAGAAGATGTTGATTTAGTTTGCTCGAACAAATTGTTCATGAACAAGTAATTGTTTTGACAACACAAAAACCTGCCAAAGTCATGTAAAATTGAAGTCAAGTGCAGTCAAATTAAAGAAAAAATATTACTTGTATAAACTTTAAATAAGTATTACAAAGTAAAACATGTTTCTTTTTTAGAAGCCTATTCTTATTCTGCAATCAGTAAATTATCAGCTATGGGTATAATAATTTTGATTTGAACCAGTTTGTACTAGTGACTGAACCTCTATTTTTTATTTATTTATTTTTTTTGGTGGTTTGAACCAGAACTGAACCCAAGCCAACTGAGTACATCTGAACCTGACCTGAACTGAACTCAAATTGAACTACCAGTTCAATTCTCTGCTGAAAAGTGGCAGCTGCTACAGGCAGCCCTTTACCCAATAGGGCTGAGGACTATTCCTGTCATGTTTTGCACTCCCCAGCCCTGCAGAAACTGAGGTCATCCCATTTGGTGCAGGGGCAGGGAGCAAAGGCAGTGCGGTTCCACTTGCCCCAGGAGTACCAGGGATGGATTGAGCTGTGGGGAAAGTTCTCTCCCTACACACTACAGGGACTGGGGCCAGCTTCTGGGTGACCTGGAGGAGTGCACGGGGTGGAGAGCCTTCTTCCATGACTGGAACCATCCCTGGAGAGGTTCTCAGAGAGTTGGTGCTCTCCTTCAGGGAGAGCAGGGTATTGTGGGCTACTGGTGGTCCTTGCCATGTAGGAGAAATGTACAGTTGTTCAGGTTAGTGTGGAAAAGGAGTTATGTGACTTTCTTGAAGAAGAGCTTGTTCTATTCTGCCAGAAACCCCTTGAATGGCTGCATACTCTCTTTTCATGCTAGGAGAAAGGCTTTTCTTTTAATATATATCATGCCCGTCC